ATAGACTACCCATGAAGGTTAGGGTTGGAATTAGTCTTCAGGAACCCATGCTTGTCATAAGATTGGGTGGTCAGGTTCACTGACTTGGTTGACACATATCGTCATTTTCCAGTTTCGTAGAACAGTGTTGTTGATCACTGCAGTGTCTGGTCCAGACACGATCATTTACAGACCGCCGCCATGTAGATGGACTATTGCTGAGTGCGGGGTTAAACAAGCAAACAGCCAACAGTCAAATGTCATAAAGACTGACTGAAATTGCATGTAAATGTACTTGGTCCTAAAATTGTACATCATGGTTTTATTTAAAATAATTTTCAGTATCCCTTTCATACCAGAATGGTTGCTTTTCTATCTGAAGGAACTATTGATTCAGCATAAATTCTTTCTTGAGATAGACTCAGTGATATTTATTGCTTACAGCCAGGTGCGGAAGTACAGCAGTAGCACCGTATTTCCATCCAGATTACATCGTATTTCCTGAATCTCCGTCAGCATTTCACCAGTAAGTATGTGACCCATCACAATCCTTGTTAGAATTCGTCTTTACTGGTAGGGGCGGTAGGGTGGAATAATGATTAAGGGTTAGCTCGTAACACTGAAAACCTGGCTTAGATTCCCCACATGAGTACATCGCATGTTATGCACTCTCCATTGTTCTTCCGACCATGGAGTGGTAACAACCTGAAACAAAGTTTCCAGCCTCATGTAACACCTTCCCTGAACACACCTCTGCTCACACTATTGTTGTAGGTACAGTGTAGTCACATTGAGTTCATACAAAATGTGTGTCTGGCCCCTGCCGACCACGTGACAATCTACTGAAGTCATTCTCTTTCTTATCAACTAAGAGTGCAGACAACCTAACATAGATAGAGAATTGGTCTGCCATCTTTATCAATCTCTACTGAGGATTTTGAGGGTTATTTATACCTTTAGCCAAAAAAAATCCCTCCAGAAAAGAAATACGGACAACTCGTCAATGAAGAGGAAGGTTTGATCTTCTTGTAAACAGACTTTTTCTGCTAAGGAATCTGACATTTTCTGTTGCGGTCAAAGTGTTGTAACTGCCATCAACCCGACAATGACCAGTTTGTGATCTACAGGAGGACGTGTTCACGGTGAGCTACAGACAGACTACAAGTTGCACGTGGATGTGTTTATGTTCTAGATGAAAGAATTCTTCAAGGAGAAGTTAGGATTAGGCTGTTGAGTATTCGTCAAGGCAACAGTGTTCAACTACAATGACATGCAGGGGTGTGTTTTGGTTACATATTAGAAGAGGCTGGACACGTTGTTTTAGGTCGTATCCACTCCACAGTCAAAAGAACAAGGCATAGTGCATGACGTGACAGAGGATGAGCATGATAAGCAACACAATTTACATTCTTTACTTAATATTTTCAATTGTAAAATGCAAATGACTGGTTCGTGTGGTAGACTTGCTGATTAATTCCTATCATTGTATTCTAGCTGTCGAATAGATATATACTAGATTTTGCCCCCGGCACCATTAAACAGCAAACAATACAAACTACAGGTAAATGTTTCTGTTTTTGAAATACACCATAGTGACTGAACAATTAAATGTCCTTGCTTCATATGGATCAGGGTCTCGATCCACAGAGCGTCTGTAGCACTACAACATTTGTAAGACTATGATAAATAGAATATACTAAAAACCTTTCGAGTAATACCATTTTTACTAAACGAGTTAATGAGTTGGTATCATTACCTTCCAACATTATAAGGTCAACGCTCCTTCGTCGGGCAGTTAATGAACGACCTCGGGCTTATGCAATTGATAATGCCCTGGGCCTAGATTTTCCAAGCTCCCTTAGCGCTAAGATAGTCGTAAGTGTCATTCATTAACATTAACTTACGACTATCTTAGCGCTAAGAGAGGTTCGAAAATCTAGGCCTTGAAAGATAGCGTTACCGTTATTATAGCTAAAATGGATAGAATTTTTAATGAAATAAAAACAAACAACGGTATCTGTTTTGAAGCATTTACTGCTAACAACAAACGACGGAGGTTACAAATATGGAAACGTCATAGAACAAAGCTGATGGCGTCACTTTTGAGACTTATGACATTCGACCTTGACCTTTGCCCATACTACCAGCCGCCATTTTTTTCAATGCTCAACAACGTAAGTGTTCCAGTCGATGTTTTCATTGCTGCATGTTGTAATGTATGGTACAGTTGTTAAGGTTTGCACCGGCAAGAAAGTGCATAATGACACAGGTACATGTGACGAATGTGAGTCAGAAATATCGACAATATTGAACCAAAGTTCAAACGAGCTCTAGGTCATTGAACATCGAGAGCTGAGTTCCTTTTGACGTCGTCAAGCAATTTGGGGGCATTATCAAGTTACAGTGGCCCGCTCATTTCTGATAAGATGCGGGCGTATTAATGACAATTCTATCCATTTTAGCTATAAAATTTGATAGAAACTGCCTATAAAGTGTAGCGACGCTTTCCGCGAGTCAAGCAAGGTCTAATACCATTGTGACAGAGGTATTAGCATTGTGACGTCATAACTGTAAAACATTATGACGTCATAGGTCTAGCGGTATTACCCTTGTGTAATATTGCCGTAAAACTATTACACTACAGCATATTCCACGGGCGAGTAATAAACTATAAGGTTACGACAGGTCGTAACATTACGAACGCTTTTGAATCGGGACCCAGATCTGTCGACAATCAGTGATCAAGAAACTCCAATTCTTTCCCTAAAGTTATTTTGATACATTTGGATAGAAATGTAATGCTCAAGTCATTAGTGATGTATATTTTTAGGATCTAATTGTAGACAAATATCCAGGTGAGTTATGGCACCTTAAATCTAACAGGTTTTATGGTCTAGCCCGGAATGCAACGTGCCATTGGTACCTCGCACGTTCCTTCTTATCTCCATCGGTTCTGGTGGTCTTCAGAAATCTTGAAGTTGACTGTCTCAGAAGTAGGATTTCAGTGTATGAAGAAACTGCCATATTATCACATTGAAACAATGATTACTCAATTCTCAATTAATGCTCCGTTATCGGGCATGCGCAGAGATAACGGCACTGGCGAGCAGACGCCGCACCGCGCCAGACAGATTTGTATGTCATGTTGATTTACTGAAAGCAATAATAAATCCCCAATATGAAGATCACGAGTTCCCGTGTTCTGTGACATGGTGCCATAAGTAAAGTACGGAAGAAGTAATTAAGAAGATTTCGCCTCCAGAAAACTTTGATTTCTCCACACCGGCCGGGTGGCCCCAATGGCGGCAACGGTTCATGAGTTTTCGTTCCGCGACGAAACTGGATGCACAGTCAGAGGATGTTAAGATAAGTTCGCTCATTTACACGATGGGAAAGGAAGGAGAACACATTATAAACTATTTTACATTTGACGAAGGTGATGAGAGGAAATTTGACAAAGTGATACAGAAATATGAAGAACATTTTGTTCCAAAACGGAATGTGAGTCATGAGAGAGCCAAGTTTCATGAACGCAATCAACGATCGGGTGAAAGTGTGGAAGCATTTATACGCTAGTTGTACTGTGAATTTGGGAATATGCGTGATGAAAGTATTCGTGACAGTATTGTCATTGGAATTTCTGACAGACAAGTTTCAGAAAAGATGCAATTAATTCCTGGATTAACATTGGATCAGACTGTACAGACAGCCAGGGAAACGGAGCTAGCCAAGTCTTAAATCAAGAATCAAGACAATATTCAGACTTTAGAAGAGGTAAGGGGTAGAAGATCGAGAAAATATGAACTTTAATGCCCATAAAGGTAAAAGAATTGGTCTCTCACGAGATTCTCACCATGGAAGTAATGGTAACCATGGAAACCAAAGGAATCATCAATCATACGGTCAAAATAAGCCCTGTTCACGTTGTGGTAATCTTCATTCAGGATGGTGTCGTGCTAGTGGTCAGACATATCATGTATGTAATACGAAAGGACATTATGCCAAGATGTGTACAAGCAATAGAAAACAAAATGTTCACATTATAGAGACAGACGTTTTGTCCCATGATCAGGCAAGTGGATTCTAACTTGGATCTGTCAGCTGTGAAGATGATAATGATGCATGGATGGTTACATTGTATGTTCAAGACACACCTGTTGAATTCAAAGTTGACACCGGTGCAGACACCACAGTGATTTCAGGAGAAACTTGTGACAAACTCTTTAACAAACCAAAGTTATTATCACCAGATCGAGAACTTTCAGGACATTCACACATAATAGGGTGTTAAGGATTGTTTCCTGCACAGGTGAGATATCATGGTGAATTATACAAGTTCAACGTTTATGTCACAGACGGACATAACAAAATGCTGAGTAGGAGTGTTTCACACAAGATGGGTTTGGTGAAGCCGAACATTCATGAAATCAGCACAGAGATTGATGAAGTACTCTCAAGTGTATTTGGTCCATTGGACTTGTGAATTGTGAACCAGTGAAGATAAAACTAAAACCTGAGGCAGTTCCCTTCAGTATTGCAACGCCACGAAGAGTACCATTTCTTGTGTTAGACAAAGTGAAAGAAGAGTTGACCCGTATGAAAGATGCCAGTATCATGGAAGAAATAATCGAGGCAACCGAATGGTGTGCGCCAATGGTACCTGTAATCAAGAAATCAGGAAAATTAAGGATTTGTGTTGACCTGAAAAAGCTGAACGAAGGCGTAAAAAGAGAACACTACATGATGCCAACATTAGAAGATATTGCTCCAAAGCTATGCGGATCCAAGATATACACAGCCCTAGATGCCTCTAGCGGTTATTATCAGATTCCTCTACATGAAGATAGCCAGAAACTTACTTCATTCATGCCCCCCTTTGGGTAGTTGCCATTCTTCAATTAGAATGTCCGAAGGATATTTCGGAACTCAGACGCATCTTGGGACTCGTGAACTATTTGGGAAATTCCTGCCGGATATTTCCAGTCACGAAACCAATGACTGATCTACTTCATGTCGATACTATGTGGTATCGGGGCCCAGACCAAGAGTCTGCTTTCTCCAAAGTGAAAGCCAGTGCACCGGTACTGGCATTCTATGATCCCAAGTTGACAACCATGGTGAGTGCGGACGCAAGCAGCTACGGTTTAGGAGGTGCTTTGCTGCAGCTTCATGGTGGAATCACATGGAAGCCAGTGGCTTTCTGTTTAAGAACGCTAACGGGTTCGGAGTGCCGTTATGCGCAGATCGAAAAGGAGACTAGCTGTTGTTTGGGCGTGCGGGAAATTCAACCACTACCTGATAGGTTTGAACGGATTCAAACTGCAAATAGATCACAAGCCTCTCGTTCCACTCATCAACTCGTATGATCTCAACAAGGTGCCACTGTGATGTCAAAGACTGTTGATGCGGTTGAGAAGATTTCAAGTCACAGCAGAGTATGTTCCTGGTAAAAACCTAGTCGTCCCAGACACGCAATCAAAGAAGTCCCATAAATGTTCTGATGAAGACCCAGCATTGAGCGAAGAAGTAGAAACCTACTTGGAGTCTGTATCTAAACAGAGATCTATCTCGGACGAGAAAGTCAATACATTAAAGATGATGTCGGCCAATGACCCGATCATCCAACGTGCTATGCAGTGTGTCCGGACAGGATGGCCAGAGCACAGTAAGAGCATACCATCTGAGGTACAACAGTTCTATGTCGTGAGAGGAGAACTGTCAGTAGTTGATGACCTACTGGTGTTTCGCGATCGTATCATCATTCCCGAGGTTCTACGAGAAGAAATCTTGGAGCAAATGCACTCAAGACACCAGGGAGTAAATAAGTGCCAGGAAAGAGCAGCATTGTGTGTGTGGTGGCCAGGGATATCAAACAATATCAAGACGAAAGTTAGCCAGTGTAACTTTTGTCAGACTCATAATCCGACTTATGGACCCACTTATGACACTTATGACATCCCCATTTCCAGAGAGACCTTGGCAGAAGATTGCTGCTGATTTGTGTTTTGCCAAGGGACAGAACCTTCTTGTAGTAATGGACTATTACTCAAGGTATCTTGAAATTGCTCACTTAAACAATGTAATATGTTCACAAGTGATGGGCAAGTTCACGGCAATGTTCGCTCGATGGGGCGTACCAGAAGAATTTCGCTCAGATAATGGAACGCAATTCACGTCTGCAGACTTCAAACAGTTTGCACAAGAGTACAACTTCAAGTTGACCACATCAAGTCCGCACTTCCCTCAGTCTAACGGCGAAGCAGAGAGTGCAGTGCGCATTGCGAAGATGATTCTTAACCAGGAAGATCCCTATCTAGCTCTAATGGCCTACAGATCTACACCTAGTACTGCCACAGGGGTATCTCCGGCTCAGCTGATGATGGGCCGACAAATCCGCACGTTACCAACCTTTACCGGAAAACCTGGTTCCCCAGTGGCCTAATCTGAAACAGGTGAAAGAGAGAGACACTGCGAAGAAGTCTTCATACGAGACTTTCTACAATCGCAGACACAGCGTGCAGTGGTTGCCAGAGCTGCCACTAGGTGCACCAGTTCGAGTCAAGCTTGACGGTGAGAAGACATGGTCGACTCCAGGCACTGTTCAGACCAGGGCACAGACTCCTCGGTGTTACCATATCAAGACAACAGCGGGTGACGTAAGAAGAAATCGCCGTCATCTGAGGTTCGATGAATCTCAGACAGCAGACTGACATTCCACAAGACTCGCACACTAACGCTGAGTTTGAGAAGTCTCCTCCAATCGAGTGCAGTGTCAGTAATCCTGTGTCTGACACTATCCGGTACACAACACGGCCTGGTCGAACGGTGAAGCCTCCCCAGAAGTATGGAGACTGGATGTGAAGTGACTATAATGTTAAATAGTTTCTTGAATTGACTTTTCATTAATTGCATGTGCCAAGGAATAATTTTGTGATCAGTGACATTGAAGTTCAAGTTCGATGAAGGTAATTCTTATATTTCAAAGGACAGTTAATTCATAAGTATGTGAATACTTAAAAGTTGTGTTTATCATGGACTGTTTCAAGTTCAGATGGAAGTTGCCTTCAACCGTCACCGGAGACTGAATTAATGTTTTTTCATCTCTTGCCAGTTAAAGTAAATGTTTATTATCAAGTGACATTAAGGCTAAATTGTTTATTTTGTCTACAAAGGGGGAGATGTCATATTATTACATTGAAACAATGATTACTCAATTCTCATTCAATGCTCCCTTATCGGGCATGCGCAGACTGGCTATTCTGTAGAACATTGATGTATTTGAAAATGCATTTATCTTGTCACTGTACAAAATATAACATGTCCTTGCAAATGATTTTGAGTTGGATATTTATTTTGTTATTTTGTTATTAAAAGGCAGGCATGTATGTTTTGTGTGTTTAAATGAATGAGTGATTGAGTGAGTTAGATTTTACACCGCTTTTAGCAATAGGGACACCGGAAATTGGTTTTTACACATTGTACCCATGTGGGGATTCGAACCTGGGTCTTTGGCGTGATAAGCGAACACTTTAACCTCTTGGCTACCCCACCAAGGACCAAGAAGACAAGAAAATATCCAGCAAAAGTACTTTTACACCTTATGGGGGTGGGGTGAGTACTTGAAACCTGTTTGCTGGTTATATCGATAAAATAGTCCAGTTTTCAGCTGCGAGTGTTTCTCTTATGTCCTGTAGCCAAGTAGGTAAGCGTCCGCTCGTCACGCTGAAAACCCGGGTTTCATACCCCACATGGATACAATGTGTGAAGCCCATTTCCGTTGTCCCCCGCCCTGATCCTGCTGGAATATTGCTAAGAGCGGCGTACAACCTCACTCACTCACTATGTTAGGTCCGAGTTATAAAGACAACGTTTCGAACTCTGTTGTATGTTCTAATGTTAGGGCGAAGTGCTACAGACTACACAAGAACCTGGAACATCTGCGGAAAAAGGGATTATACCTACTTGCTGCTGACAAGGTCTACTACACTCATCACCTTTAGTAGCCAAGGCAACCCAGCGGAACCGGCGTCCTTCAGAATCGAATACACAACCTCTGACTTCAAAGGTAATTGATATAAAGCTGATGCAGGCGCATATTTTTCAGCTGGAGTGGATGTGGGCGGCAGCACTTGCAGAAGTAGTTGTAGTAACTGTAAATGTAGTTGTAGTAGCACTGGCAGGAGCTGTAGTAATGTAGCAGGACTTGTAGTATCATAGCAGTAGCTAATGTATTTATTAGTAGACTAGTAGTAGTTGTAGCCATAACAGTGGTTGTAATAAACGTAGCAGTAGTGTTTCTTCTTCTCTGCCATGTTCTTAATTAAGTAACTTTGGTAGCGGACAGTCCTTGGATGGCCGAACGTGTTTGGCAGTTGGACTCCTGAGAGTTTCCAGTACGCCTGTCCTGCCCCACAATAAGCCACATACGTGGACTCCTCTTGAATGGGTGAATGGGTACCCGGTAGGGCTGCGCAATATAACCGGTCTTTCCAGTATTTACCGGTTCAGACATGAAAACGATACGTATTTCGATACGCTGATCGAAAACCTGTATTTTGACATGTATTCGGAAAACTTCGTAACACTCAGAAATCTTCGGATATTTCCATTTTTCACACTAGAAGTCAAGTTAAGTTTGGTTTGAAGTTGTCTTCTTAATCTTTGTCAAAGTGTTTCGCAATGTTTTGGATCTGAATTTTTTTTAAATATTTACTCTTTAATGACCAGTGATTACTTATATGTCCTGACCAGGCCAAGTTGCTGTCTGAAATGTCAGGGCTCTTTTTTCAAAGTGGAGAAACTAATTCAAACTAGTAACCACTGTGTTTATGTTTAATATTTTTTTCATTGTTTCATTTGTGCCAAATCTTTTTTTACTTTTTTACTTTGTCATGATTATAAGTTTTTATTATGTGTAATCGTTTTTGCTTTATAAATCAAGCATTAACTCGATTATAAGTATGTTTTTTGTTAAAAATCCTTTTTGCAATATTTTGCAATACATATCGCAATATATGTTTTCGCATCGCAATATATTGCAATATGAAAATTCACTGCAAAACCCAACCCTAGTACCCAGTGGGATAAGCCACAGGACTATTATCCTTCTATTGCATCACAGGCAGCTTGGGTTATCCAGGGTAGTGATGTCCTTCATGTTGAATGAGCTTAAAGCATGTCTTTGCAGCATGGAGTTCACCGCGATAGTGTTTCCTTATTATTATGCAGTTAGATAGCAGCATGCTCAACGTTGAGTGTGATGTCAACAATGGCAGCTCACCTGCGTCAGATTCGACTGACTTAGTTGACACATGTCATTGTATCCCATTTGCTTACACCAATGTTGATCACTGGATTGTATGGTCCAGATTCGATTATATACAGACCGCAGCCATATAGCTAGAATATTTCTAAGTGCTGCGTTAAACAACCAACCGACCTTACAGACAGCAATTTCCTTTCTTATCCTCAGCATGTCAAAGGGATGACCTTGTGGCTGACTCTTTTGAAGGAGAAATAATTTCACCTGGCTACCCATATCTGTATCCGGAGTAAGCAGCTTTTTCATATAACTGTGAATGTTGAATGGCATAACAATTCGTCAACTAATTGCATGATCAAAATATCACAATCGATGTTAAATAAAGTAAATATCTCCAGACCGGGTTCGATTCCCCACATGGGTACAATATGTAAAGCCCATTTCTGGTGTCCCCCCGTCATGATACTGCTGGAATATTGCTAAAAGCGGTGTAAAACTAAACTCACTCACTCTTTCATGAAAGCCGACTGAGGTTTTAATATTTTTCTCACTTTTTGTTACAGTCGAACACAATGTGTGTGGCAAGTAATGGCTAACCAAAGCTCGGACCTTGTCATGATCAACATTCAAGAACTCGATCTCCACTCAAAGCCTGCTTGTGGTGACAGTGTTGCCATATATGATGGTAGGTACTCCAGTCACCAGCGTCAAACCTATCATAGACACACGGTTACGAACGGTCTCTATTTTTACTCCAGTCACCAGCGTCAAACCCTTCCTAGACTGAGTTTTTATTTTACGCCACACTCAGCATTATGCCAGCTATATGGCGGGGGTCTGTGAGTAATCCAGTGATCAACATCATGAGCATCCAGTATAGTATCTGTCTTATCGAATTTTACTACTAATGATTCTTTTAATGCTACAACAAATGAATGCAAACAAAATACAAATATTAAAATTTAAACCGACCAAAGTTATAGCAATAATATCAGGCTATTGCCATTTTCGAGGAATGTATCCATCAATATCCACACAAAGGAACAATATGCAATTCATCTGCAGCTGACAAAGAGTCCTGTTCCATGACTGTTTCTGTTTTTTCACATTGGTGAATAGCTTCATTACCTAACATCGCACACCCGAGAACTCTTTACATGATGTCCACCATCAAGTAATTTAGTTAGACAACAAAAAACAATCAATAAACGTATCAATTGGCGGTTAATCCTTTGAAGGAAGGACTTTGTTTTTACACAGGCACTTTACGACTGAATGTGGTAGTATTCAGTGTACGTCAGTAAGTCTACATACATAGGCACTACCTTTTGACAAACCCACTGTGTAATATATAAGTAATTATTCAATCAGCGTGCTTACAACAAGGAAGTGGAAATTGCTGTATTGCCTAAAAGACTTAGAGGTCGACGCTGTTGTGAGGATACGAACTGAACTTCATTGTTGCATAAGAGGCATTTGTTGTGTACTTAAGTTAAAAACTGTATTTTTTAGCTAAGTCAATTCTCTGATTTTCTAGAAATGGCAAAGTGGGGTCGATTTAGGTTACGGATTCAATTAAATCAAATGTGTGGTTTTAATGTCATAGGTCAATAGACATCATATTGTTATATGACCTGAATAAATATCGAGATAAAAAACACAAAAAATGGATCATTCATCATACTATTCATGCATCAGAAAAAAAGAAAACGCCTACACCGCTGGGATACTTTATTACAGAGATCATATACATATCGTTATATGGCCTCTGTTTATTACAATCAGACAAGAACTACCGGGGATATTTTCAAACAACGGCATCTGATGGCATCCGCTGTTTTTAGTGTCCCATTGTTTAGGTTGAAGAAATTCTACCAGGTTGGACAGTTTCCCAGTCCCTGTGTCCGGCACGGTCGAGGGAGCAGGGACTGTCCACCTGACATCATTAGATTGTTGGCGCGAAACATTAGTACCTCTGGATCAGTGCCCCTTTAAATGGAGCATTATGTTACATTTGACAACTTTCTAAATGGCATTGTGTATTTACAGTAATTCCCGTGAGGAATGTTATGTCGTTGATTGTGGCAAGGAATCCTTACTGATGTTGTGTCATTTCAGGTCCAGCATCTGATTTCATCAAGACACCAGATATGTTGTTATGTGACAACATGACGGATGTTTTTAACAGCACTGGTCGGTACGCCACTATTAAGTTTTCAACCAATGACGGTGGAATAGGAAAAGGCTTCAAAATCAGATACAAGTCTGTACCAAAGAGTAGGTAGCACATTTATGAATACTTGACATACAGTAGGTTACAAAAAATTAAACAAATTAACACAGCTTGGCTGGATTTAGTTGGATAAACTATGCACTAGTGTAACCTTTTATTGCAAAATCCAACTGATATTTAATTCTACTTGCACCAGCTGTATGCACAACAACGTAAGCATCTTTCAAAGTTATGTCCTAGTATAGCTTGTCCACAATTGATCTGTGAATTAATTACCTCTTTAATCATCTATATTTTGTTGTAGTGGCCTCACTTAACTGTGAGTACTTCAAGATCATCTGCAGGTTTAAACTTTGATAAATTTGTCAGACCATAGTGCAACCTGGTTTTGTCTGGTGCAGCTAGATTTAAACGTCAGGATGTGCCTGGTGCAAGTAGTTACTAAATCGATCCGTCTACGGTCTCCCAGATTCTACCAAAGGTTGTTATTTTATTATCGCCTTACCAAACTATTTAGTGCCAACAAATATGTTGACTACATATTGTGAAGTTTCAAATATTATAAAAATTATCATTTTCAGAGGACGCTGGTAATGTGACTACAGCTTCAGTTTCACCCAGTTATCGAAGTTATTTAGGGTCTCTGTTCCTGATAAGAAATATGTTATCTACATGTAATCATTTTTCCAGTATTTACATAAGGAAATACTTATTGTAAATTACAAATTGTATATTTTTCATTTTCAGAAGGTACTGGAGACACAGTGTTATGGTCAGTTAGTAGCTTAGCTGGCGTGATCATCATCATAGTGATTTTGGTAACGCGTGTGGTTTTGAAAAGGAGACGCTCTGATCGCACGAATCAGACTCCAAGTACCGAAACATCTGATGATCCACATCCACACACAAGCGACCAGGCAGCCCCATTTTCCCCATCCGATACGACCAATACCACGAACACCAGCAGCAGCATCAATACCACCAACAGTAGCACCAGTACCAACAATACCAACAGTACCACCGGTACCTATACCAATGAACCACCACCTGCATACGAGGATGTCTACAACCTTCCTGTCACAGACCCGAAAGCGCCATCTATGCTGCCTCCCTCTTATAAAGATGCTGTGTCAAGGGGAATGATTCTAAACAACTCAAACTAGGTTCTGAGGCAGTTTGACAAGGTGTCTTCTTATCACAAACAGACCTCTTTATGTATTCCTATGCAGTGGACAGAAGTAGTGAGTATGTTGGGTTTAGTGGCACTCTGACCTGAGTTCGACACATAGAGTGACTGCATCATATTGGAAGGAAGCGATCAGAATGTAGTTTCTTGATATCTAGTGTAGCTTATATCTAGTGTCAGAAAGAAATATCCGTTCATTTAGTAAGAGACACTCGGACATCGTATTGGTCAGAAAGAGTCACTATGACATCGTCTTGGTCAGAAAGAGACGCTCGGGCATGGTATTGATCACTAAGAGAGGCTCAGACATAGTATTGGTCAGAAAGAGTCACTCGACATGGTATTGGTCAGAAAGAGTCACTGGGACATGGTATTGGTCAGAAGGGGACACTGGACATGGTATTGGTCAAAAAGAGACCCTCAGACATTGTACAGGTCAGAAAGAGACCCTCAGACATTGTACTGGTCAGAAAGAGTCACTCGGACATGGTATTGGTCTGAAAGAAACACTGGGACATGGTATTGGTCAGAAAGAGAAACTCGGACATGGTATTTGTCAGAAAGAAATTTGTCAGCGTGTTTTGTTTTTGTTTGTATCGGGAGTTAGTGGTATGGGTAACTTACAAGCAGTTGTACAAAATGCATGTAATTGTGCTGTGGTGGCACTAGATTTTGGTCCATCTTGATTATCTGGTTCGTTTACGTACCGTTTGACAGGGGTGCTACTTTATGAAGCATATTGTGAGTAGCTGGCGATAGTTGTTGAGCAGGATCATCGTTGAGTTTCGCTACTCCAAGCCTATAATGTTTAACTCTCTTTTGCCTTTCAAGCGGAATGGAATCAGAACGGATAATCCAAACTGGCTATTCTCAGGAGTTGACTTTTATAATTGCAAGATTCCCTGTTAGGGAAAATTATCCTAATATTATCACTAGTCATGTACTGCTCGGGTACACCCAGTCCTGTGTGAATAACTGAATCGGCAATTAACATAAACACCATTTCATGTCTGAGTCAAATAAGTACACCAGAAATGCATTTGCAAGGCACTTCATAATTAACGCAATTGTGTAAATTTAGTATTTTGAATATATCAGAGATATTGGCAACCTTCAGTGCTTGGACCATGTTGGTTAATTTTCATTTACATGTGATATATGTATTATTGTTTTTATATGTTTGTTATTTACTAACATTTTGTATGATTTAATTGAAAGTGTTAATAACATTGTGCACTTGTTTGTATTTATTGGTTTACAAGTGAGTGAGATTTTTAGTATTACGCCGCACTCAGCAATATTCCAGCTATATGGCGGCGGTCTGTAAATAATCGAGTCTGGACCAGACAATCCGGTGATCAACAGCATGAACATCGATCTACGCAATTGGGATAGGATGACAGGTGTCCACCAAGTCAGCGAGCCTGACCACCCGTTAGTCGCCTCTTACGACAAAGATGCGTTACTGAAGATCAATTCTAACCCGGGTCTTTCCGGGACACATTCTCTTCCCGCAGAGGTCACTCCTGTCATATCTTCCTACGTAACCTCTGTTCTAATACGGCCCTTTCATGGTGCGAGTGATCTGGATTTGTGATTGGTTGATTTAGTTGTGCAATCAGCGACGTTATTTCAAAAGTGATCGCTCGGTAATTTCCGTATGCTTCGGGAAAACGAGAACCTCTTCCCCAGCAAGATGCGTAAACGTTTCTTCTAGACAGAAGCCAGTCATGTAATGGCGAATCAATGGCGTCTCCATCGCCCTCGTTGACAACGACCATGCTAGCAATTAAATATCTTGTGTGTCACATCAACAAAATCATCTTGTCGATTGATTCCTGCACTCTCTATTGGCTAGTGTCTGCTTTTCCGTTAAACATGAAATACCGATTCTATCCTTCGCACGTTGATCAACTAACTCCATGGCGGCCGCCATATTGAATCAAAGCCAATGTAACACGTAATCGGATTGGATAGAAAGAAGGGAGATAATTCTTGTTGCGATATTTTGCCGCTAGGGGATTTTACGAGAACCAGGAAATATGGCCGTCTTAGAACAGATGTTACGTAGGAAGATGTGACAGGAGTAACCTCTGGGAAGAGGATGGGTACCCCAGCTGGATTTACACCATCCTTCTGGCAACCTGCGATTGTCTGATAGTAAAGCCAAACAGATAAAATTAAAAGCATGGAAGATGAAAAATACTGTCAATGTCATGGGACTCACCTACCCTCTCCGGAAGACAATTATTTTACACTGCTTCATCTCCCTTTGAAGGTATATCAAGATAAATATTTCCTTTTCCAAAATAGAATTTACTATCTAAAATATATATTCTAATCACAATTTATCGATTAATTTCAATGTTCGTGCATGATCAAGGTTACAACATTCAAAGCCTCAGTAAAGATTTTAAGAACTTTTATCGAAGACATGTGGAGGAAATTTCCAAATTTGATGCATCAGTGACAAAAATGATGCAATTCCCTATTTTGACATAATGGAGGCTTGACTGATCCCAAACAACTTCAGCCCTATCACATGTTTGAATACACAATACAAAATCTTCACAGGGTGTTTGACAAACCTCGTGTCGTCTTACTGATCTTCTAATCATATAATTTACAGAGAGCAGAAGGGGACAAGAAAGGGATGTTGGGGGTACAAGGCTAAAACATATCCCCGCAACCTCTCCATGTGCTTGATTGACTGCAAAAAAGCATACGACTCTGTCCCTCACGAGTGGATTCTAAAGTTTCTTCATTGTATTGACCTCCCGGAGCGACTACTTGATTTACTCAAGTCTTTAATGAGTTGCTAGTCGACTCAACTTGATATGTACTCGCAAGGGCAGGTGCAGACTTCGGAATCTATTCCAATCAGAAGGGGAATATTTCAGGGGGATTCCTTTAGTCCTTTGCTTTTTTGTTGGTCTCTAAATCCTTTGAGCTTTCTGCTCAACAGAGGGGAGGGTTACCATCCCGGACCTCCTCAGCACAGATCCCCAACACCGCTTACTCATCTGCTTTACATGGATGACATCGAACTACTTGCCAGAGGAGATACCAATTTGAAAGAACAGGTTCTCCTTGTCGAGTCCCTTTCTATGTTATTGGCATGACATTTGGACTCGACAAATGTAATACTCTTCATTTGAAGCGTGGCAAGGTAACTAATTTTGGATTGTTCAAGTTACAACGGGAAGGAGCTATTGAGCATCTTGTGGAAGATCAGGCCTACACCTATCTTGGAATGCAAGTTCGAGACAAGCTACAGAATGCCCAGATTCACGAAAAACTTCCGGCTGAGTACAAATCTCGCTTTAAGAAAATCTGGAGTTCAGAGCAATATGCTCGAAACAAGGTCAAAGCCACCAATACTTTTGCTGTGCCAGTCCTTTCCTATTCCTTTGGAGTAGTTGATTAGACAAACAAGACATCCAGAGTCTTGACCGCCTGACGAGAAGGATCATGTCTGATAACAGAGCCCACCAGCCCCGTTCCTCTCTCAGTCGTTTATATATGCCAATCGATCCTGGAGGTCGGGGTTTGATTAATGTGGAGGCTCTTCATGATAGAATTGTATTGTGTACTTTTGCACATATTATTTGTCAGATGATCCTCTGGTGGTGCATGTCAAGACTCATGATGAAAGCAAGGAATTCCACAGCTATTTTAAGCGTGCCAAGGTTGTTTTTTGTTGATGGCATGTGCTGCTGGACGGTACAGCAATGGGAGTAAACCAGGTGAAGTCCTTCACTAAATCTGCCCAGAGTGGGTCATTTGTGGAGAAGCACAAATTGCCCTGTGTGCAAATATAAAAAGGAAATTACACGGGATCTCCTCACCCGTATGGATAATAACACAATATACGTGTGCTGCATCACGGCTGATAAGATGACGTATTCTGCCAATGGCTCGCATATGAAAGAAGCATATTGTGCAGAGTTAATTAACATGGGTGTCCATCGCCAGTTGTGAGTCAATTGTAACTCCAAGGTCTTTAACAGAGTCCACTGATTGTATATCTGCATATGCTACCATAACGGTACTGGTGGTAATTTGTTTTTGCATTTTCCTGGCTCCAACAACCATCACTTCCGTCTTGTCATCATTTAACTTTAGCATGTTGTTTGTCATCAATGACTTCACGTCTGTTATTTTTTGAAGACCAGTGTGAAAGTCCTTGGGAGTTGAGTTGTTCTGAAGTTGGGTGTGATCTGCAAACGAATGATTGCAAATGCCATGTTTGTCAATTACGTCCGCAACATCGATCGTGTATGCTATGAAAAGAAGCGTACCGAGTATAGATCCCCGAGGTACACCAAAGTGAACCCAAGGAGGTTCGTAATTGGATGTATTCTAACAGAACAGTCTGACTTCTGCTTTCAAGACAGGATCGTAACCAGATGTAGTCAGAACTGTACAATCAACTCTGCTTTTAGAAGAGATTGCTTATGGATGTGGAAAAGGGTTTTTTCGCTTCTATTTAATAAAGGTTACACAATTTTAAGTAAAGCTTTCAAAACTTTTAAGGCAAACATTCGGAGGAAATTTGAAAACTGGAGGCAGCAGTAACAAACATCATGTCCCTCCAATGGAATTCCTATTTTGACTTGTACCATACGTTCCGATTTCTTTTCAGGTGAACAATTGACTAGCCTTTGCATGTCTTTAGGATGGGTGCCACTGGTGGGGTAGGATACGCTGACCTTTTTGCGAACACCTGTTGTTATCACTGTTTTGATAATGATTCAAAAGCACTTGCAGATTATGGAATCTGAAGTAAAACCGACTATGCTTTTAGCAGAGATTTCGCATGGATGCGGAGAGGAGTCTTGTATTAACAACAATAATGTGTACCAACAGGTGGCGTTAGACCTGTTGCGCTATGTAAGCGGGTATTCAGTCAATCAAGCAATCAACGTTTTTATCTAAAAAAAACACACCACGGTGGTACGAGAGAATACCAATATACATATGTTACATAAACAGACACGAATGGTGATCTCAGTAAGATAGGTCATTTTAAATTTTCAACAAGTGTTTGCCACTGATATGGCAATGTCTGGCACCCATGAAGGGCCACCTCCTCGTGGTGGGTGCTGGGTAACGCTAAGCGCCCTTCGACCCCCCGTTGTGGACCCGGGGGGATATTAGGTCCACCAACCCGTTTGCCGTGGGTTGCGCCCCTGTGTCGGTGGAGGACGGGATTCTGGTGGTTGAGGGCAATAGGATCCTGGAACCGTGTTCTTGTTGCCCAACACACCACTTCGGCCCTTACTTCACCTAGACGGGTGGTAGAACTGGCCCGGTTCTACCAATCGGCTGGTCACGCCGTGCCCTGCGCATGGAATCATTCAAATTTATATCAATGTCGTTTATATAATGTTGATATTGAATGTTGTATTTCACAAATATATTATTATATCTATTTGCCTAAAGTCCTATGCCAGAAGGCGGTGGCTCATGGGCCAATCTGGTGATGTTGACCGCTGATTACTATATGTTTCTAAATAGTTGTTATGGGCAGGACCAGCCTGACAATGAATTTAGTAAACAAATGTAGCTATTCAAGTCATATTTGCTGGAGTATAACATCCCTGTATCCCTGGTGTTTGCATTTTGGAGACCCAATGCAGTTAGACATTGTCCTTGTTGACACTCCGTGGTGGGTAGGGAGCAGGGATGCTGAACCATTTTTGCTTACATTATGAATCCCCAATCATCTGGTTCACCAAGAAATGAAAAGATGAGACGCATAGAAACTGTTGATGACTCTTCTAGAACTGTTCATTCTAATGCTGATTCTTGGCCTCGTTTCCTGGTAGTTGAAGCTGTTGATTTTCTTCCCATCAAATTAAACCCTTTTGCTATTTCCAAGGCAGTATCTGGGATTTGTGGGGAAGTGAAAAATGTCACCCGTCTCCGTAATGGTTCCCTTCTGGTGGAATGTGCACGGAGACAGCAATCACTCAATCTGTTATCAATCAGAACATTTGCCAATATCGAGGTTGCTGTGTCCGTGCACAGAACTCTCAATTCCTGTCGTGGCATTATTCGAGATCGAGCTCGCTGTCTGTCTGATATGTCAGAAGACGATATTGCAGAGGAACTAAAAGATCAGGGTGTTACTGCTGTGAAACGTTTCACCGTTAAAAAAGAGGGTACTGTTGAAAAAACAAATACCTATCTCATAACGTTTGACCGTACATCCTTACCGCCATCAATC